AAGTTTTTTTGTGTAACCAATTTAGGGCAGGGTACCGTGATGCGTTAATTTGCCGAGAGAGCAATTCGAAACGGGGACATCGCGCGCTCTCCAAGCAGATGAGCGCGTTGACCCATTTTATACGTAACGTGGTTTGGTGCGTGGAGGAATCGTTGATGTAGTAGCAGAGTCCCGAGGCCCTTGCGGCGCTTCACTGATGAGTTCGGATCTGTGTCAGGGTCCTCCCCCGCGCGAACCTTGCGCCCTTCTTGCCTATACACCGCCCACCGACAGCCTCGGCATCTGTTGACCCGTAAAACTTGTGCGTTTGTATTACCTTACCTTTCTTACGTCTAGTTAATGTCAAGGGAATGATTGTTCTAATTTCCTCTTTTATTTAATCACAACAGAGGTCAGCTCAAAACGATTATGCCTATGGCATATTATAGTGTTTGAATAATGTTCATTTAACCATTAATTTATTAAACTGAATTAGTGTGAAGAACGTGCTTTTTTCTTTATGTTTAACGATTTGTCTTTGGCAATCCGAATCTTGACAGGTGACATTGACTAGACTTTTCCAAAATGTAGTTGTAGCTACTTTTTGCTTTGGAATTAAGCTTTCTGTAAATGAAATTTATACTCTCTGTTTCTCATTTTGCTTCAGACCAAATGGTCTTGATTGAAAAAATTTTAATTCTAATCACTAAAATATGAATAGAATAATTACTAGAGCTAATAATAGAATAGACAATTAAGACGATCGGTAAATAATGACCCGTGGCTAACCATATTATAATTATTTAAACCAATAGTATAAAAATCTTGCTTTTGTCTCCATCCTACTATTTAAGGTCGGTAGCTATCTATACCACAAGCCAGACGTTCATAGAAACGATAGAACTGAATTTGGCAAAGCAGGATTGGAACTACCGAGAGGGATAGTGGTAGAATGTAAGATGTTGATACGGTTACCATTACTCAGATGATATACTCGTACTAGTATTGGCTGGGACCTGTATTGCTTACGTGACACTAATCTGGTACATAACATGAAATATTAACGATAAAATTATTAAATCGTGGCACACATGAAGCCTTTTTACTATACTCTTAACGAAACTGAGATGGAGGTCACTTATTTTGGGACGATGCATACTTGACCAAGTTTTTCTTATTCATAGTAACGTAATATTTCTCACTCGACGTCTTAGGGACATTGGATCGTTCGGATGCCGACCTTTCTAATTTTAAAGCAGGGATTAGGAGTTTTTATTCCAAGGTGTAGGTAATTAGTAGAAACGCAATAGACTAAATCAAATAATTTATATTAATGTAAATTGACTGAAACAGGTAAAAATGTTTCGTTTCAGTTTAGTAGGCGGTCGTCGTAATGAATAATAATAAGCTTCAGTTTAGCGATTGAGTGGTGACCGACCTTTGCAGCTGCGTCACCTTCGTGGTAGTAGACGGCAGAGTTGGCATTGTCGCCTCGACGCCAATAGGAAGCAACGCGGCCGCAGATCGCTATTGGGCTTAAGGCCGTTTTCAATGCACCATCTTTTACCTTGTGCTCCTTACCGCGTCGTGACCCAAAACTTGTCTCTCTGAACGTGGCTGAACACCCACTTCCAATAGAATTAAAACTTTTGATATCGTAAGCACTTTTCAAATTATCAGGACGGGTACCGGCGAAGGCGAACTTTCGGCGCGCAATATTCGGTACTGTGGGTTTCGCAGAGTCGGAGTGGTAAAGCTCGATAGGGTTTAATTCCCCAGCGTTAAAATAAAAGGCCCTTTTAAAATCCAAACTCATTGCATTTCGAATATTAAGGTTTTAAAATGTTGACAATATGCCTTCAACGTCTAACACAATGGGGCTCTGCTCTCTTGCAGGTTAATCAACACAAATACTTTCATCATACTGTCTATTAGAATTAAGGTTAAAGCTTCAGCATTGTCTAGTCAGACCGTGTTCTTATTTGCCATATAGGTCAAATTCATTTACGGCTTCTGTTTTCTTCTCGTTGAATAATTTTCATATCAATTACGTCGGATGATTTTACGATGTTACGCGTTATGTTAGATTTACTAAAACCATTAAATTTATCACAGAAGAGAACAAGATGTAATGAATACACAGTAAGCACTCTTGTATATTTCCTTGTTTTAACACTTTTCAAAACTGTTGCTTTCGATAGAACATGTATATTATTTTGGTGGTTAAATTATAAGAATTATTGGAAAAAGCTTACGTCCCGGCATAATCATAACTTTACACATCGTGAAGATGTAGGAAAGTAGAACGGGGGCGTCAAATTCAAGGTTACGAACGTAGCTGAACAAATTTATTTTGTACGGCCAAATTTGGCATTAACTTCAATATTGAGTTACCTTGAAAATAACATATGTCATTTAAGGAACAATGCGAAAATGTGGACAAACATTCATTTTCTATATACATTTTTTTATTTATTCAATAACTTTAACGCGTGTAAAATTATGAGCTATAGTTATTGTAAATTTTACGAATACCCTCTTTAATTTTTTTTAAACAAAACCATTTCAAGTTTAATGTGGAGTATTGTCTAAGGCATAATTTTCTTCTCTCATTTATTCATTTTTTAATGCTTAGATGGACGAACGAGCTCTCTCGGCCCACATTTACGGTTACGATGAGACATGAGGTCGAAGTCTCAATTGTTTTACATAAGGGCTGTGACGCCCTTCAACTCGGAACGCATAAGTGCTTGGCGGCAGAAATGACCAGGAATTTTTTTAAAAATTAGTTGTTCTCTTTAATGAATCATGAATAAAAACCTTTGTCGCTTATGCTCAGTGTAATGCGACCGTTAATAAGCTGCGAGCTATAATAATTAGCCGATGAACTTGCAAACGCAACAACACGTTCAGGCATAAACGTTTTGCAATTTCGGATGTTTTCTATAGTTTCTTTTAAACGTTTCTCAATACTTACACGTTTCGCATACGAAGACTGAAAGTGTACGTCCGCCTGGTTGTGCGCGCGGCCTCAACCGAGTTTTGTCGATGCTTTCTCGAGCGTCGAACCAGGTCGCGTTCTCGATGCCTCGTGCTGAGCTGACTGGCTGGTACCGAGTGCCGACCATTGCCAGTTACCACCACTAACCGACTCGCTCAGCTTGACACACACACACGCACACAACCTCAACAACGCAACGTACACCCACTTTGTTTGAGATGTATTGTGTCAGGGCTAGTTTCAAGTTAATGATTCAAGTAACAGACAGCCGATACAGTGAACGTCGCTGGTAACTGTATCTATCTGTTATATACTTCAATAATGTTATTATTTTTTAATTAAACGTATATAAGTACCTCTATAACTGTTTATTTTGACCATTCTGAATGATTATCATAATATGTAAATTTTTTAAATAAATTAAAAGAAGGAAATGCGTCATAATACAGACCCTCAGAATGTTCTTGCATTAATGCGATCGACAGTGACGACGACCCTCAGAATGTAGGAAGTGGGGTCATACAATTTATATTAGGCTGAAGTCAAGGTCTCGCCAATCATTTTGGCCATCTAGTAATTCATATATCAATAAAAGTCTAGGTTGAACGCGTACGACCTTTTTAATAGAGCCAGTAACAGAAATAATAAACGTTGTGTATAACATTAAAGAGATAATAGTGAAATATAATTACATATTTAAATGACACGTATACGAAAAGTTAGACGCAGCTATCAGATTCGTACGCTTAGGCTTAATACATGTTTGCATATTCATGGCAAAACAATGTAGAATCTGTTGCAGTAGGGCCGAGGTGGCACAGTTTCTTGTTTAAGTTATAAATCAGTCTGTCCTAGTTAGATTAGCGTACGATATTACACGGCAATTGATGATTCTGCTTTCCAATCGTTGCCAAATGATGAATTTTCGGGTTTTATGCTCGAGAAATCGTTGTAAAATTCTTGACAAAAACTAACCTAAACCGCCACTGCTCGGTTACAAAATCATGTTACCATCCATTATTTCGTTGGAAGATGGCATTAAAAAAATAAATTTAGAACCGTAATTGAATTGAATTTTACTGGTGGTAGGACCTCTTGTGAGTCGGCACGGGTAGGTACCACCACCCTGCCTATTTCTGCCGTGAAGCAGTAATGCGTTTCGGTTTTAAGGGTGAGGCAGCTGTTGTAACTATACTTGAGACCTTAGAACTTATATCTCAAGGTGGGTGGCGCATTTACGTCGTAAATGTCTATGGGCTCCAGTAACTTAAGACCAGGTGGGCTGTGAGCTCGTCCACCCATCTAAGCAACAACAGAAAAACATGTTTCCTAGGAGATAACAAAAAAAAACACGCGATATAGATAATAAAATGTTTAACGGTTTACCGCTTTGGCCAGCAATGTTCGCAGTTTCTGAATTGGCCGTTCGTCCGTCCTCGGCCTCGCTCATACGCTTCCGCATCGCAACTTATCCTCGTTGAATATCGCCCATGATAATGTTTTATTGAAAAAAAAGATGTGTAGTGTCGTGGGACGCCGTATAGGAACGAAGTTTCTTATTATTAAAAATATTAATTTTAAGTTCTATTCGAGGTATAAAGAAAATAATTATTCGGGTATACATATTTTATTATGATTTTTTTATTGATAAAAAAACTATACAAAGTTATCAACTTTAATTATTCACAATGATTTATAAAAAAATGTATACTAATAATATACAAAGAAACAGCTATTTATATGAATAATAATAATGAAGCCTAATTATGTTCCATCATAGAAATAATAATAACCGTCATCACGTAGACTCTACATTAGACACTGTATAACCATCATACTAAGACTATACATAAATAATAAAAATCTTACGTTACGGACGTTTTTTCCCGGTTAGGGTACCCCTCCGCATCTTCCCATAAGAAACTTCGTTCAAAAAAAAAAGGCTTGCTCCTAACTAAACGCCCTTAAATTCATGTAAAGCAAAATTGTACTTTAACGAAATTTTTGGTTTCCTTTCTAGGTATAATCAGCAAACCGCGCGCTCCTCTTGGTTGAAGTACGTAACATTTTATTATTATTTAGTATCTCTTACAGACTCTTACTTGACAATTTGTATTCTTAAAAATGTATGAATTTTATATCTACCATTACATACTTGTAACATTTAAGATGTATCTAGTTTTTACCCTGAAGCTGTAAATAGCTGATGTCTGGTTAATGAATATAGAGGAAACACTAAAAGATCAACTCCACCTTGATATTCATTGAGTAGTTGAGTGTGAGCAGTTTTGCTAATATTGTTGATTTTATTGGCCACGTGCGAACAGGTAGGCGTGAATAAGTCTACGTCACAACACCGGCCTATGAAGGTCGTGACGTAACGTTTTAGTCTCACCATTATTTAGTTTGTCGATACGCGATACATCGCTCGATTCCCGACGAGGCCGAACGTTCTATTACTCGACAGTTGAGGTTATATTATACGATTTTATAATTCTGTCTCGTTTCGTCTAACAATAACCTGATTTACAACCAGGAAACGTTAATATATAATGGCGCTGCGTCGTTGTCGTTACGCGAACGGGTCGGCCTTAACATTTGGTATCTCGGACCTTACGTAAATTTTAATTTTGTTTTTCAATTCAAATCTTTGTAAATATGTACCTACTTCATGATTCGGTACATAATATATTACAGAACAGATGAGCTTCCGTATAGATTTTTAGAAAATTTTGAAACACCGCCAAGACAATGTAATTTAGGAATTTCAAATATTCTAAATCGAACTGCAACTTCGGAACTTTATGTAACCAAACTAGTATTTCTAAGATTAAATGTAAGAATAAAACCGATTTGTATTAAATGTATAATGTATGCTATATATTGACTGACTATACTCGTAGTGGCAGCTTATTGATTATTATTATTATTTTATCTTTCAATGTCACACACTGATATGAAGGATAGATACTTAATGTGTTCACGTTTTTTTTTTGTTTCATAAGTTTGTCATTCTGCTAATCAACGCTCGCTATCATTTCCTGACGATAAAAGCATACTTGTTCATATATTTGAAGTGAAAATTGTTTTATATCGCTCGATTCTCACATGTCTTCATTTTACACTACCTAAACATATATTAATACAAAAATTATACATTAAATACGCATAGTAGTACCCTGCAGATCACACGATTAATTCAGAACGATCAAATGTAATTGATTATAAAAAAAAGGTATGCTAAGTGTTATTTCAGTGCTTAAAAGGTATATTAGTGTGAAATTTCGTCTAAATCCGTTGACCAATGTTTGCGTGTTTAAGTAAAATCGGTATTGACAAATTAATCTAGTCTATCCACTTATACTAAACCATAAGAAACGCTCAAAATATATTTTTGTTCAAAAAAAACTCAGCACTTATGTTTTTGTAGACTTGATTCGGAAAGTTAAAGAGAGGTAACATAAATTTACGAGCTTTAAAATTTCAATTTAGGTTAAAGCGTGTAGTTTACCTTAATTTAAATTTGATTGCTATCTTTTTAGGTTTACGCTTTCAAACATACAAACACTTAAAATATAATACAACTGCATTTTGCCATAACGTGGCGTCGTTATAACTTTAATCATTTCTGAACCTTGTTGCTACTTGCTGAACATTTCAAATCATATGAAATATTAAATAGGGAGCGGATTAACAATAATAAGACTTCTTGAATCAGCGGAATTTGATAGCCATTGACCCTCGACAGGTAGCGTTCGCGTCAGAGTCACATTTCACAATGACTTCAGACTACTTAGAATCTTGACCACGTTAGAATTGTCTTTATTTTGTTTGTGAAATATAAAAAAAATATATTACTGAAGAGTAATATTTTTTTTATATTTCACAAACTGAAGAGTTCTACTTGCAAATAAAAATTAATCGTACAGTATATTAAACACAATTTTTTTAAACATCGCGAGAGAGCTGCCTTCGTTAAGGATTTGTAGAGAAATCAACTTATAAATTAATAATTTCATCATTCTACTTGCTATTAATTTATAAGCTTTAAAATTATTGATAAACGTTATTAGTAGTATTCATATGCTGTACGCAATGAACTGAAAGTACCCCCGCTATCTCTTGTGCTATCTTTTACAACTATTATAATGGTGTGATCACCTGTCCGCAATGTGCACGAACGTTTAGGAATAAGATCGACTATGTTAGCCACACATGAGCACATCGTGACAATCAGAAATGGACCATACCCGATCCTGTGGACCGAATGGTAAACAGTCGACGTCGCCCAAAACACGTCATTACGGATCCTCCCGATCCATTAACGGTGCTTTTAGATACTTGAAGCACCAGTCACCGTCCTCGACGAAACCGTCGCTTGCGACGAAGGGCTCGACGAGTATATACCCATAGACACAGTTCATTGAGTTTCTCGCCGGATCTTCTCAGTGGGTTGCGTTTCCGATCCGGTGGTAGATTCTGCGAAGCACTGCTCTTGCTAGGCCCAGTGCTAGCAACACTCCGGTTTGAGCCCCGTGAGCTCACCTACACGTCAAGGCAAAGCTGAAATAGCCTCTCAAGGCTATCAGCATACTAAGGAGAGTAGTAGTAAATAGTACTAGTAGTAGTACTAATGACAATTTTATTTTATTGGGATCGGTTTATTTGTCTCCTAGTCATGTATTCATGTGATAAAACACGTATAGATTAAATAGCGAGGCGTCGCGGTCACCTTGCGCGTCCCCATCTCGGACGAATAGAGGTGGTGCGATCAGTTCCGCGTTCATTAAAATCGACCCAACCGCGAATATATTCACACGAATTCAGCATAATATCGTTTGCTGTTAATTCGATGTGACACTGTTTAATTATTCGATGAATGTATGTATCTGTTTTTTATTAGGACAGTATCTGTTACGAATTTGCGATCCTCTAACTTGGGATTGTTACGTATAAAATATATACAAATTAAACAATCAACATGTTAGTATTTTTTTACCTCTAGTAAAGTTTGTGATGATGATGTCATAAGGTATTAAGACAAGGCCAAAAAAAAACAATACTAAGGACACCAATTAATGACAAAGGAACTATTTCATAGTGCAAACTATTAAACAACCTGGTATACTGTTATGTGATATTATCAATATAAAATAGGTTGTACTTGAATAAAACATTATTTATAAGCTCGGTAAACAATGCGAAGTGCGTCTCGAACCCGTAACAGCGCCAACGTCAATATGCAAACTGCATTGCATTTTAGAGCTTATTGTCAGAGGCAAATGGCTGAAAAACTCTACAGTGAGCTCGCAGCAAGACTCTCCTTCCAACAGTTCCAACCCTTATATACTTTACTGTATTGATGTCCCTGCATTTTGCTTTGTCTCTTTCTTTCATGTGCTGTTTCTCTTTCCGTTACCTGAGTTCGGAGCGAATAAAGGTTATATTATAAATACGTATTGTTTTAACGATAACCTCGTCGTGTGCTTTCATTTTCTAAGTGGAGGGGCTTGGGTTAACCTAACCACATCCACACTAATTTGCATTTCAATAATATTCCTGTGTTGCAAACGATGTATCGAAGGACACTTCAGAATATCTTTGATTCGACATTGAGTTGTAAATGCTATATTTACGGCGGAGTATGAAACGATGACGGTTGCCGCAGCCTTGACTACATCATGTGTTTGATTATTCCACACGTCACACCTAGCAATTTGCGAACTTTGTACGTTTTACATCTCGCATTTCGCTATTTTTGTAAGGCCTTCTTGAAAAATGTTATATAATGTTATTATAATGATTGTAATATGGTAGTCAAATTACATCAAAAGACACATTCTGTTGTCACGGAATTTTACTAGAAATAATCATATTTTGATCTTTTAAATTTCAAATCAAGTGTTCGATTTTGATATTGCCCTTTTAATGTAATACATAGTCTGATGTCAATGTATTTTTCTTAGAAACTTACATATAATTGTGAAAAGTACGCATTGTACGCATAGTATATAGCGTTATGACTAATAAAATATTACATATGTACAACAAGGCGTTATTGTACTCAACGACACAACAAGATAAGGGTGAACTCGTTTGTAAGAATCTTTTATCGTTAGGAACGTTTCTGAAATACAACAACCTCATTAGTATAAAGAACTTTAAAAAAAAAACGTATTGTCCAATATTGCCAATATGATACGACTACAATATGTAACTATTTAAATCGTTTCAACTGTGTAGTTTGCATTACATTAGAATTATTAATGTTTTATACCAGGAAAATACATAAATGAAACCAATATATGAGACGAAATTACATTACTGTGATCAGAACGAACATGTTTATTTTAGATCGTAATTTAGGTGTTTCGTGTCGGCTAGGTTAATCATTTAGGTAACCTCGCCCTCCATAATTCCATATAAAAGTTGCGTCATCACCGGACGTGATACAATACGTCTGTTATTAATATGTCCAACAGAGTGAATTGTTGAATGTCGTCGTTTACTAGCTTCGTGCTCGCAAGAAGCGGCCTTCCAACAATTTAAGCCTTCAATTCAATCAACCGACATGATATTCCCGGTGCAAGGAGCCGGTGTAATTGATGGAATCAAAATCATGCGGTCTTGATCGGAAGGTCAAGGAAGATGATTTTTTTTAAAATTGAAAACGTTTTTTCGGGTGCAAAGGAGGCGTTATACGTTTGTTGACACAAAACTGGGTCCTCTGAAGGGCATCGAAAGCGTTTCAGAAAACGCGTTCTTACTGTTCACCGATCGATAGAGTTACAAATACGACTTCTTTAAAAATAAATTGGTGTTTTAGTATATTTGTATTTCTATAAATGCTGTGTTTCTGTGAAGAGCGTGCGTACCCATACTAAGATTTTTCTATTTCTCTCTTAAAATTAACTTTGCTGTGGGTATATTTTGTTGAAAAAGCTAAATAAATATTTTTTTTTTTTCTTAGGAACACCTGAACTATATTTTTTCATAGATTGGTTTTCTTTTGAGTATCACGAAAAAATCACTGTCCGTGTTCAATGAAATATTTAC